CCAGCACCAACACTGGAGGGACATCTGAAAACTACACTAAAGAAGAAGATGGATTAAGAGGCATCATTTAAGGTAAGTCCCTGCACTAAAATTGGGTGTGTGGGGGGAAGGGGGATTAGCCTTTAATGTCACTTTAAACCATTATGAAAATCTGAATAATCAGAATTGCTTTAAGAACATCTTCAGGGTTCTCAACTCGTCTTTTTGCTTACAGCCTGCTCCTGCCTTCCTTGGTCTCTTCCTACCAACTACTGTTAAAATATTACTGCTGCCTGCAAGATTCTGATTCATTGCAGAAAGAACATTTCACATTATAAGTGTTAGTGTCTTTTTCCTTAAGTATAGGGTCTTGGCATTCAGAAAATATATAATGTTGGGGGGTTTTAAGTAATTTTCAGGCCTAAAATGTGGAATATAACATGGGTACAAAAAATGAAAAAAAGGCCTCAGTCATGAAGGGGTTAAACTTCGATGCACAAGAGAAAACTGATCTTTATGGTTTGGCAATAGAATAACCCTTTAACCTACACTCAACGCAATCAAACTCATTTAGTGAAGGGTCTTTGATAAAACATTTCTACATACAACAACGAGATTTAAGCTGACATATGAAAATCTAAATTGTTATGGTGTAAAACACAGTAAGCTGACTATCAGAGTGATGGGCCAAAATGGACAAGCCCGACCATCACAGTGATGGACCAAAATTATTAAGACGACCCATCATATTGATGAGCAAAAATGGACAAAACCAACCATCATAGTTAGGAGACAAAATGGACAAAACCAACATTCACATGCAAGCATCCAACAATTGTTGAAGCCACCATCTTACAGTTGTCTGGGATTTTGAGGGCCTCCATGGGTCCTGTATAGGTATTTGCAGGCACTCTTGTACTCTTGCTTTCTGTTTTTCCCTTTATTGTACTGCATACTTTCCCTTTATTGTAAGTACCTTAACTGTTAACAAAATGTATCTTATTTGTGTATCACTCAGCTGTAGATCTTCAAATCATCTCTGAATTCACGCTGACACTGTCCTTCCTTCTGGAGGGTGGCTACCCTTGTTCCCCATGGTCCCTGTGTGTGATGTAAAGTAGCCACCACTTCAAGCTCGCTCCCGTGATGGACTACAATCTCATGTTTAGTTATCTAATTTGTATTGAGATTGTAGTCCGTTACGGGATTGACCTTGCTTGGAGTGGTTTGGAGTAGTTCAAATCAATTGAATGAATATTGAATTCAGAAGACAGTGTGGAATTCTAAGGAGCTATGCAGAGAATAGAATTCAAGCTTTCATGATATATCTTGCTCTGGATGACATGTTATGATACCACACCATCCTTATACATGGCACAAATTAGAGTGCATCTATATAAGGATCTCTAGCTCCCGATTTCATAATCTTTCTCAGCATAGGTTTACAATAGGGTGGAGTACACTTTGGAAGACTAGACACGTACATCTACACAAAGCCTGCCATTCAGCAGTTTCAGCTGCCCAGGCAGAAGGCCAAACAACTGCATGTCGATCAGAAAACTGCGCCCAGTGAATTCAGTGGCAATGTTCCAACAACCGATACACTTGTCCATCCTGTTTTCTCCATTAGTTCTGCTCGGGTCTACTACTTAATGCTTTGCTTTCATCAGGCCATTGCATAAAAGGACAAACCCTGTACAAGTCACTAATTCAATAACAGAATGGTCCTCTATGTGTCAGTAAAACACAAACAATAGTATTCCCTATAACACCCTATAATGTGAAAAGAACAAGCCACACATTCTTTCTGTATTGTATGGACACCAGTTTGTCCTTTTGGAAAATGTTTCAGGTAAACACTGAAAGTTTCAACATAAATTTAAGGGCTTGGTCACACCATGGGCTCAATTTACAAAACCTAAGGATACCAATTTTCCAAAAAGTGAGTTATTTTTAGATGAATCCAATGAGATTCGAAAATTACAGTCACATGCTTAAAATAAAGATACTTAACCTTGTTTAAGCTTTGTGAATTGAGCCTCGTGTCTGTTTAGCTGCACTTTTTTGCACACCACCACACATGTTAAACAATCCTTTTCTATGTTTCCTGTTCTCACTATACATATGTGGTAATGTGCAGAAAAATGCAGCTCAACAGACATGGCGTGAACAAGGCCTAAAGCAGTGGTTCTCAACCTGTGTAACCTGAGGACCCACATTTGTCCTTGGTCATTAAGTCGCGACCCAAGTCGCACTGCAATGGAACGCACGGCATTGCGGTACTGCGGGTTCTGGTGTGGGTGATCGAACTGTGGGTGGGAGGTGTGTTTGGGGTGCCAATGAAATGAATAGCAATGCAACGCACCTCTCACACCAGAACGCACGGTAGGTGCAATTGCATGGTACAGTGTGTTAATCGCATGGGACTGTGTAATTATTGCACTGTACTAGTGTGAACAGCCGTCAAAAACAGACAGACACACACAACCACATACACAATCTCTCTCACACACACTTTTTTTAAAAGATCCACCCAGTCTCCCTATCTTACAAGAACTGGAGTGGATCCTCAGCCCGGGGTCCAAGGTGGGCTGCTGTGCAGTGATGGAGCTCCATCCATAAGTGCATTGCTTGTACAGCTCCCATGCGTGCCCGTCGAGGTGTCGGGAGCCAGAATGTGACGTCGCTCCGGTCCAGGCACATCTACAGAGCACATGAGTGAGCTGTAAGCAATGCACGTATGGATGGAGCTCCCTCGCGGCCATAGCACCATCCCACCCCACCTCAAGCTGACACTGGGTGCCGCGCAGCATATTTTGAATGGCTGCTCAGAGTGAGAACTGACAGTGCTGGGCTAGGCGGAGGTTGAGCAGCCTCTCACCTAGAAAAGTGGAAGACATGTGGCGACCCACTGAACACGGGGTCGCGACCCACCAGTTGAGAACCAAGGGCCTAAAGTGTATGCGAAGCCGCTCAGATTTTTATTGTTGTCAGTATACCCAATGGGAAAATTCATGCCCTCTTCTTGTCCTGGTGACCATTGTCTCCAGTACGGAAAGTGATGCGAAATGCGATTTTTGCGAATTCAGAGAAACAGAAGAGAAGAAAAAAAATCTTGGCATGTAGAATGTGTCTTAACGTGCCCATACACTCTTCGGAAATCGAACATGAATGTGGTTTCCAACAATAGTTGATCAGTTGATGGGAACCCAACGATTTAAATGACTGTACTTTTGGCCAAATTGCCTCGATCGGTCAGGCTGGAAAACCTTTTTCAAATTGAACAAATAGTTGATGGATTAGTGGCATTTTCGTACGGGAAAAAGAAAAATCGCATTGAAAAACACTGCAAATGCTCATACGAAAATTTGTTCCGTCAGTCTACAAAATTCATATTGCTAAAGAACGATTATCGAAATCCATATTTTTCAGTGCTTGATGGACTATTTGAGCTAGAATCAAACGAGGGGGGTGCTTGCAGTGACCACGGATGGCGCCGCCAAACAGTACAAAATAAACGATGTCACCAGCACACCAATAGTGTTGAAGTCCAAAGTGTTTGTTTATTGGAACATCTGTTCTGGTAACATCAGTCTATCCTGCTTATAGGTGAACACAGAGACTGTGCAAGTACATGTTTCTCCACAGCACTTTGGCTTACTAGCCCCTCTACAGTGACTATGGCTGTTAGGAACACCCTGGTAATGGCGGGGTGGACTGTTTGCATAATCCTGGTAATGGCAACTACAGATTCAGCAAATGTTCTCACAGCCACTGCCAAAAGTTCTCCGATACCCCTTCCATTAAGGGGTATCAATGGCTTTATACCCCTTAATGGAAACCTGTACTGATAGAATACAGAGGCTACAATTGCTGGCATCTTCTGAAAGTGCTAGTTACCTGGCTGCCATACTAATCCACCACTGACCTGGAACAACTAGGCAGATTAGGAATCGGACTTTAGTTTGACCTTCTACTCTACATGCTTCTTCCAGAAAGTACAACAGCCAGAGACTGCTATACAAGCACTGCACTATATACACTGAGTGGCCAGATTATTATGACAACCCCATCAGTACTTCGTTGGGCCACGAGATAACTCCACGAGATGACTTCTTTGGGCCGCCTCGTGACTCCACGAGATGTTGAAAGGTGATGCGAGGAATCTAACACTCCACTGTTGCCTTGTACCAGTCTTGCCACTCTCCGTTTTGCCCTAACATTGACTAGTCGCTGACGGCCACAATTCGCACGTTCAGACCCAGATTTTCGGCCGACAGTCCAGTCTTTAAACACTTTAACAACAGCTGCTCTTGAACATTTAACGAATTCTGCTGTTTTGCTGATACTCGCTCCATGGCTCCGAGCGCCAACAATCATCCCACGTTCAAAGGCTGTTAAATCACGTTGCTTACCCATATCTTCTACTAAATCACTTCTACTGTCGTGGTAAACAACCTGCTTCCCTATTTATAATGGACTGGCCCTCTAGCAACTTCAGCGCAAAATTATAGCTAATTTGCCTACAAACGTCAGGTGGTCATAATAAACTGGCCACTCAGTGTATAAACATGCACACTTACTTTAATGAGCATGCATGTTTCTGTCACAGTCATTCATCAGAACGATTCTGCAGAAGTCGGATCTTTCAGCAGTTATCTCATGTCTGTTTGGCTTTAGTCATTTTAAGATACATAGAGGGGAATTTATCAAAACGAGCAGACAAAATATGGAGCAGTTGTCCATTACAACCAATCAGCTTCTCTCTTTAGTTTGTTCAGATAAGATTTGAAAAGGAAAGAGAAGCTGATTGGTTGCCATGCACAGCTGCTCCACATTTTGTCTGCTCCAGTTTTGATAAATTCCCCTCATAGGTCATTATTTTCTTTAACTGGTTTTATCGGCACACACAACCACAACTATTCAGGATCAATTCCTGGCATTCGGGGTAATCGTTTATTAGGTCAAACTGCGGTGACAGCTACCCTGTTATTCAAAATACATAGAAGCAGAGCACTGACCTTCCATCAAAGAAGAAGAATTTGCCGCGTCCATTTTTTTCGCCATGTACAAAATGCCCCTCAAAGCGATCTGTGGAGCTGTAACTGACCATGCACAGGCCATGAGGCAGACCATCGTCATCTAATTGTCCTACATAGAAACACACAAGACGTTTCAGAAAGGTTCATTCCATTATATCATTCCATACTAGAACTTAAGGAGGAGAAAGATTACAATGTGTACATATCAAGGGAAACGATAATAGTTTCAGATTAGTTTTAGACATTTTATTCTCATAGGTTTTTTTTAGTTTAAGTTTTGAAACTCTTGTTTTATATCTTTGTTTTTATTTTATATAATCAAAATATTTTATACAAAAAAGGACAGAATATTCCCCAAAAACGATGTGGCTTATCTAAAAAGCACTGAACGTGACATACATTAAATGTTCTATGCAGATGGCGCATGCATTTTAAATTATTGGGCATGACTAACCGCCTCTGATGGCTAGCCAAGCCCAGTGTTTGGTTTAAAGTAGTTTTAAACTCTGTTTTTCAATAATGAATCCAGATCAAACAAATATATATTATATATATTTCTTTACATTTTTGCTCAAATACTTACAGTCATCATGTTTGCAAGCAGCTCCCTCCAACTTTCTCAGCTCAGCTTCCCTGATCTTCCTGTCCAGTACAAGATCACAAGGGACAGAGCAGTCTCCAGCAGCTGTTCATGTACTAGCTTGCAGAAGGGAGGAGGGAGAAGCAAGAAGGGGGAGTATCTTGCCTTGCTGTGTCTGTGTGTTTGTGGAGAGACACAGCTTTCTAGCACACACAAGGGTGGCTCCATCATCCAAGGGTGGCATCATCCATTGTAAGCTAATTAATCAACATTTGAAATAGCTTAAAAACCATTTGACTGTAAAATAACTTTAATGTCACACGTTCACTGTTTTAACCCCTTCGTGATGGGAGACATACAGTGTACGTCCCGGCACTTTGTGCCTATATGACTAGCCACGTACACTGTACGTGACAAGTTATATCAGGCTTTGTAATGCTGGTAACAGCTGATTCTCAGCAGTTACCAGTCATTAATGAATGCCTCAGTATTGAGGCATTCATTAATGAAATAATTAAGCGTTTGTAAAAGCTTCTTCCTTTCATTAATGAAAGCATTTTTGCGATCCTGTCTTTGACAGCTGAAAATAGCAGAGAGGTAGCAGTGACTCATCTCTCTGCTATTTGTTTTGACAGTTCGAGAGCTCGATGTTTAGATACATTTCACTCAAAAGATACAATGTATATCTTTTGAGTGAAATGTATCAGTTCTGATCGTCTAGGCACGATCAAAGAGCTTTTAGTGAGATCTGAATCTGACTAAAGTCAGGATCAGTCTCTAAGGTTATTATTAGCTGTTCCTAAGTTTGGAGCAGCCTAATAATAGCCAAAACATTTTGTTAAAAGTTTTTTTTTTGTTTTGTTTTTTTAAAATAATAAGATTTTATTTCAATTTTCCAATAGACAAAGTACAAAAATACAAGAACACAGAAACATAATACAGACACGTCCGGTCATCCACCTAGTCCCACTGTATGTATTCACATTCCATTTCTTTAGAACATGCGCAGCGGGTAGATATGCATGTGCTCTCTCAACTCATACTCGCTACTACTATAGTCGCATGTAACGTAGTGGGGCTGTCGCACAGATCAAAAGGCATGCGCCTTATTTTGTGTACTGCACACCTCTCATGGAGTGCGTGCGTGCAGAGGATACGGCCGTGTTAATTTAGTTAATTTATCAAGCAATCATAGTGACTGCTTCATATAAACTGACATCAATATATAATATGTGTTGGTACATTTAGTAAGAAAGTATATTACTGCTGTGGAACAATCACACAGCAAAAATGTAAAAAGCGTGTCAGTCATTTATGAACAGAAACTGAAAACTAGCTCAGTCATGAAGGGGTTAAAGATATATGTTCCTGAGGGTTATTTCAATAGACAGCTAACGAGTCATCAAGTAAGCTTTTTATACCGTGTGTAATTCCAGCTTGAACTATTGAGGTCTGTAAACAGGCTTTTTGTATCAGGCTATAAAACCAAAGAGAAATTTCAAAGCAGCAAAGAGCTCCGCCTAATTGCCAAAAATATTGTTATAAAATACACTGAGTGGCCAGATTATTATGACCACCTGACGTTTGTAGGCAAATTAGCTATAATTAGCTATAATTTTGCGCTGAAGTTGCTAGAGGGCCAGACCATTATAAATAGGGAAGCAGGTTGTTTACCACGACAGTAGAAGTGATTTTTTTTCTGAAGATATGGGTAAACAACGCGATTTAACAGCCTTTGAACGTGGGATGATTGTTGGCGCTCGGAGCCATGGAGCGAGTATCAGCAAAACAGCAGTATTCGTTAAATGTTCAAGAGGGGCTCATTGTTAAAGTGTTTACAGACTGGACTGTCAGCCGAAAATCTGGGTGTGAACGTGCGAATTGTGGCCGTCAGCGACTAGTCAATGTTAGGGCAGAACGGAGAGTGGCAAGACTGGTACAAGACAACAGAAGGGCAACAGTGCAGTGTCAGATTCCTCGCATCACCTTTCAACATCTCGTGGAGTCACGAGGCGGCCCAACAAAGTCATCTCGTGGCCCAACGAAGTACCGATGGGGTGGTCAGAATAATCTGGCCACTCAGTGTATATTCCTGGCAATAATAATCTATTTATGTTGTGGGTCTGACCACACTGAACAAAGGAAATATGTAGAAAGCCACTATGCGGTCCCTTTAACATGTTTCATAGTGAACTGCTGAGTCCCAGCACATACGCAGTGTGCAGCTTTGCAATCAAAGACAATTGTTGTATAAAGTCTGCATATTATGTACAAGACAAGCTGTGTCTACACCCCAAGGAGAAAATGGCTACAACTTTCTAAAGCACTGCAGCCAATACAAAACGAGGTGCAATGAAAAGTCTCTGCATACTGCACCTGTATTTCCTTATTTTGTGTCTTGTATTACGTTGCTGTATATGTGCACCCCTCCCCAGAAAGAGTACATGCCTTTGCCCATCTACAGTAGATATGCTACAGACTATAATTAGCACTGTCCTAACATCCACCAGTATGTCATATTGGCAGCAATATGAGACAGCAATGTGCAGAGCAGAAGTTCTGGCTCTTGTATACCTAACAACCATTTGACAAATCTAGATGTTCATGTAGCCAGTGTGCTGCCAACAAAGGCTTTCTCAGGAAACTGTGATGCATACAACACAGCAGATCAGTAATAGTAAGAGATCAGATATATAGGGGGGAAAAAGAACAAACATTTTTTCCTAAAAGAGAACTAAAAATAATAATTAGAATTATTATATTATAAATATATTTCTTCTTTTTTATTTTACTATTTTATTTTTACACACAAGAATATTTTATGTAGACAACATTTGTAGTGTTATTTTTAATAGGAAATACTCCAGTGCACGCAAACACTATCTTTTCAGTTAAATATAAAAGATAAAAATGTGCCGAGTCAAATAATAGCAAATATGTCAAACCTCAAAAAATGCAAAACGGTGACAAACGTCAAAACCCAAAATTGCCCATAGGCAACGTGTTAAAATCCTTTACAGCGAATCAAATTAGAGGTTTGTATTGTTTTTTAAATGAACTGAAGTACAATCACAAGGGGTCAGTAAATATGCAGTGACAGATTCTCTTCAGATTCTCAGATCAAGTGTCCCTAAATTACTGCATTCCTGGTCACAAGTGCTGGGATCTGACAGCTCTTAAACCGAAAGAACTCCTGAATCTAAAAAACGTACCTTTGCATTGAGGCCACCCGACTGCAAGGGTACATTTTTAAAATTCTGGAGTTTTTCTTTAACTCCTGTGCCTATGATATTGCCCAATTTCACAGACACAGGATGCTGATAACCCAGCTCCCCATATTTGTACACCAGTCTTTACAATGTGAGCAGTCTAAATGCAACCACAAGACTTCTCCTATGCCCTGAAAAAGGGCCACATCCCCCAAGTTGTGTTGGCTGCTAATTGTGTTCCTTAAGCAGTAAAATGACTGACTTCAATGGTAGGTACTTCTCATCACACAACCATAGATTAACCATCTGAAGAACCACATACCCATAGTTCTCAGGATTCGACGAGCCTAGGACCAAAATACAGTTGTCACACACTACTTCTTTCACACAGGTTCATTGCAAACAAAAAAAATAACCTAGAAGGAAAAGAACCATCACGTCAACCTGTCCAGCATTACCATATATCTACTAAACCTTGATATGGGGGATTTCCTTTGGGCTGGGCACCTACAACTAACGTTTTGTGGCTGGCTGGAGTTCAGCTTACATGGTTGTGACAGACTGCATAATTTTTTTATTCTACCCATAGTTCCACTAACGAGTTTTCAAAATCCTTCCAGGGGTCAGACACCTTCTGATGTCATTTGTCCAGCCGAAATAGCTTTAGTCTTTCTATTTAACCACTTGCCGTCCGCCCATTGTAAAAAAATGGACGGACGGCACTGCAGCATTGGCGGGTTGCCGTCTCCAGGCGGCATTTTTTTTCTGCTCGCACGCGCCCCCTAGCGGGCAGGCACGGGCAGAAAAGACCCGACCAATATAAACATCCGCTACCGGGTGTTTCACATATAGACGATCGATGGCTCCATAGCCCGCCGATCGTCTATATGTGCTCGTTTTTCGCCCCCTCCCCCTCGCGGCCGCCGTTTTGAATACTGAAAAATGGCCTGGATGGGAAGGGGGTTTAACACCGCGGATGTCAACTGGTTAAGGCAGTCAGCAATCAGATTCACATTTTCAGTTGGAATATGAATCCGAGTAGGACCAGAGGGTACCAAACACAGAGGCACATTTATCAATTCATTTGCATGCAAGCAAGGTAATGCTAAACTGGAGCAGTGAGACAGACTGTGTGACAAATCTAATACAAGGTTACAGTCCATCAGCTGCTCTAAAGTAGCACTGTGAGACAATGAAACCTGACCTTGACCACTTCCCAATTATACATCTGTTTAGAGCAGGGCAGGACACATCCCGGTCACCAGGTTGCCATGGGGGCTAAAAAAATGCCTTCTGAGGACCTGGTAAATGAAGTCTCGA